CGAACCCGCAGGCTCAGGCAATCCACTCACCTCGGCCTCCCAAAGCATGGGATTACAGGCAGAGCCACCGAGCCTGGCTACTATTTGCTTTTAAAAATTAAACCAAGGCCGGTCTCAGTGGCTCAGCTGTAATCCCACGCCTCTGGGAGGCCGAGGTGAGTGGATTGCCTGAGCCCGCAGGATCGAGACCCACCTGGGAAACTTGGCGAGACCTCATCTCTACAATAAGTCAAAAACTAGCCGGGCGTGGTAGCGTGCGCCTGTAGTTCTAGCTACTTGGAAGGCTGAGGCAGAAGGATCGCCGGAGCCCAGCAGGTCAAGGCTGCGGTGGCCGGGAACGTGCCGCTGCACTCCAGCCTGGGCAACAGAGTGAGACGCCTACTCAAAAAAAAATAAAATTAAACCAGCTCTGAAAACGAGCCTTACCACGACAGTGTGAGCGCTGGTGCAGCCTTCCCGGTGGCCCCCGTCCGCCCCTCCATGGACACCTACCTCTTCCCAGGGAAGCCTGGACGGCTGTGGCATCCTCTGTGGGAATGTGGAAGGAAGGTTGGGCCCTGGGTGGCTCTGTGAGCCTGGGAGTGGCCCCTGCAGGGAGCCATGACCTTAGAGGGACTGGCAGGGCCAGAGGTGAGTCAGGAGTGCCATGTGGCTGGGAGACAGGGTTGTCACCCTCCATCACAGACCATGGAACAACCCGGACGCCCGTGCCCTCCCAACTAGAAGGTTGTGACGCCAGGGCAGGGACCCAGAGGGACACCAAAGCCTCTGCTGCCCGCACTCATTACCAGGAGAAGTGTCAAGTCTGACCACTGGCAGGAAGGTGGCCGTGCAGAGGCACCGGGGAGCATTGTTCACTTCCACAGCACTACAGGGGACTCTGACTCCAGTGGAGCCGTTACCAGGGAGAGTATGGCAGCAGTGTGTCTCTGCCTCCGTTTCTTTTCCTTTTCCTTTTTTTTTTTGTTTTTGTTTGGGGGTCTCACTCTGTCACCCAGGCTGGAGTGCAGTGGCACAATCATGGCTCATGTCAGGTGATGCTTCTGCCTCAGCCTCCCAAGTAGCCAGGACTCTAGGTGTGTGCCACCACGCCTGGCTAATTTTTTCATTTGTGTGTATACAAGGTCTCGCTATGAGTCCCAGGCTGGCCTCAAACCCCTGGATGCAAGCAGTCCTCCTGCCTCAGCCTCTCAAAAGGATTACAGGCATGGGTCACTGTTAGTTTTCTCATATGTAAAAGGGAGAGGAGCCCCTCCTGTGAGCTGGAGAAGGTCCTCCACTCTCCGACCCTTTGCACAGGGGGACCCCAGGCACATGAGGCCAAGCGGGCAGAGACAGCTGAAGACCTGGGAGTCCCCGCTGCCTGCCCCCAAGGCCGCAGAGTCCCCCTGGGGCGTCCTTCCAACCCCTGGGGTTCCCCAGGGCACCTCCACCTTGAAGTATTTAAAGTGTTTTTGCTGTATTTTATGAAATGTTTAGTGTTTGCAGTGTATTGGATAAAACCTGAGTCTGTATTTAAAATGTAAAACTCCTTTTTGTGGCTTGTCTCCATGTTGTTAACTTGTTATTAAACTTCTGCATGGCTGATGCAAGAATTTTAAAATTTTGCTCATAAACAACCCTCGCAGCCCTGCACCCCACCCAGTGCTCCAACAGTTTCCCCGTTACCTGAGTATACTGTGTGCCCCCTTGTCTAAGTGTACTATGTGTCAAACCCCAGAACATGTGTTTCATGTGTTTATCTCTGTCATGGTTCAGTTTCCCAACTGCTTATACCTATAGAGACTCCCCGCAAATTTTGTTCGTCATCGAGAGTGTGGGAGGCACGAGCCCCCTCTCGACCGCCGGCTTTAATAAAGGGCTTACTTATTAGTTTGACCTTTAATTGGGTTGGTTATCTGATTTCTAGGGATTGAGTATAACAGCTTTAGGGAAG